TTAATGGACATGAGTCTGAGTAAACTCCGGGAGTTGTTAATGGACAGGGAAGCCTGGCGTGCTGCAGTCCATGGGGTCACAAAGAGTCAGACACGACTGAATGACTGAACCGAACAAAAGATCTTACAACAATCTTAGACCTCAAGCCAATATTTTCCACCAGTGTTCGAAGGTATGAGATTCGTGCATTCTGTCTGTGATAAAACCTGTCATGTTACCTAACGGCAGATAAGCTTCCCCCTTAGCTTCTGGAGTCAACCTGATAGACACCCCAAGGATATTTTCTGCGCTCCTCTACCTCCATCTAGTGGAGGAAGCGTGAACTGCAGCTCAGCCTTGCCTGCAGCCTGCAGTCCTCAAGGTCTTTCTCCCGAAATCTGTAACTGCAAATCTATTCAGGCTTTTGTGGCTAGAAAATACCTCTACCTCTCATGGGGCAGAGTATCCACAGAACTGTGGAAAAACCAATACCTTGGTGTATCTTTAGAAGCCCAGGGCTAGAGCTACACACTCTGAAGTTGTTTTAGCAATGACTGATGCTTCTGTGTTTACAGTATTTCCTACTGAAAACTCTACCTTTAGAATGTTTTGTTCTTGCCAGGAATTTCTGCTGTGGTGCAGCACACAAAAATAGAGCACAAAGAACTGACAGAAGAGACGGAAGCTGTTGCTAACAAATGAATGCGCTCTCTGGGATCTAACTTGCATAGAAGTCAAGCAGAGATGCTGTAACAGAGAATCTAAGAATTTTTGAGCTGAGGAACTCTTAATCACCATCTAATAAAGACGGAAAATAGCTCAGAGCAAAGCAAAAACAGGAGATAAGCCCCAATGAATTTATTTCAGGCCACAGTCACCAGTGCAGAATCTATGAGCTGCTCTTTCTCTTCTCTCTCTCAAGGCCATTCCACCTGCACATCCAACCCATTCCTCCTTCTCAAGATTTATTATGGATTTTTCTATTGGCAAAAAGTTAACATTTTCCTCTGACAAAATCATCAAAGCATAGACTCACAGAATGTTAATGTATTTTTGCTGATTATTTCACTTCTCTCCTACGTATAGGATCTACGCACTTTGAGTAACTTGGCTACAGCCATAAACCAGTTTATTTTCAGAACCAGTGAACAACAACTCTAATGCAGGTAAGCAACACTGAAAAAGAAAGGGTCGTCATAGGGTAAAGATAGCCATATACAGCAGTGTCCATAGGACTTCAAGATAAGAAATAGTGTTTGGACTAGAGGAGGTAAGGGGAATCTTTGAAAGGCCTTTCTTTCCTCACTTTCTTTTTCAGATGTCTGTTTCTGCCCTGGAGAAATGCCTTCAGGGACCTGGTGGGTCACAGAAATGTCTGGAACCCTATATATGTGGTATCCTACAAAGTGGTGGTATTATCACTGGGACGGCTATAGACGGTTTGCCCATTTGAAGACATGAAAGTTTAAAATTGTGAACCCTATGAAACTCCAATACTTTGGCCACCTCACGTGAAGAGTTGACTCATTGGAAAGACCCTGATGCTGGAAGGGATTGGGGGCAGGAGGAGAAGGGGACGACAGAGGATGAGATGGCTGGATGGCATCACCAACTGAATGGACATGAGTTTGAGTAAACTCCGGGAGCTGGTGATGGAGGCCTGGCATGCTGCGGTTCATGGGGTCGCAAAGAGTCAGACATGACTGAGCGACTGAACTGACTGATTGACTGATGCTACCCGAGAAGACCACTCAGCTTGGTGACGGCCCGGTCACAACCTGTAATTTATGGCATCAGCAAGGCAGAGTTCCAGGGTAAGGCTTTCAGAACGACTATCAATGAGCCACTCCCAATAAAGGAAACTGTTCTACTACAGCTGTCCTCTAAGTCATATCGAAGAGGAATAATTAAAAAAAAAAAGAGGAGGAAAGCAATACATACAGAGCCAAATACAATAGAACATTTTCTAAGTGTGTCTCTAAGCTAGACCAAGCCCATGGCTGAGTAGAAACTGTAAAATTGGGTAGACTTGAATATGGTGAGCATTCCATTCAGCACACACTTTATATGCCATCTGCTAGAATTATGTAATTGATGGCCACAGGACATAATCATTTTAAAATACAGTTAATTTGTTTACCAGTGATGAACTTTTTATCTGTACAAACTAGGAGCCTGGCAATGAGATGAAGAAAGTAACCAAGTTTCCAAAATCAGAATGTAAAATGCATAATTAAGGAGGCTGGGGAGAGAGGAGCCCATCACATTGGAAATGCTAGACTGAGAAACACTACATTTTGAGGACTGGTGATGCCCACTATTAGTGATGGTAATCTCACTTCCAGAAACAGATCTTGGACTACACTGAATTCATCTCCTCTTTTATGTGCATAATATACTGTTAGAAATTTTATTTATTGATTAAATGAAGGTACAAATAGTGAATATTGCTGAGCATCTATTGAGTACCAGGCAGCCTGCTAGATACATCATCCACTCTCTATTTTAACCCTCACAACCAATTATAAAAAGGAGGTCAACATGATAAGACCAAGATCACACAGCTGGTAAGAGATTGTGGCAGGTGAATAATGGTTCCGAAAGATGCCCATGCCCTAATCCCAAAAACCTGTGAGGGTGATACGGCAAAAGGGACAATCCAGATATGATTAAATTAAGAATCTTGAGTTGGGAAGATTATCCTAGATAATCTAGGTGTCATCTAAATGCAATCACATGTGTCTTTATAAGAGGGAAATTTGGCTACTAAAAGGAAGGTGATACGACCGACCACGGAAATGGAGACTGGGATGCTATATAGGCAGGAGCCGAGGGATGCCAACAGCCCCTAGAAGGAGAAGAGGTGAGAAACAAATCCTCCCTTGAAGCTTCCAGAAGGAGCCAGCCCCGCTCACACCTTGCTGCTCCGTGAGACTCACCTTGGAATTCTAACCTCCAGAGACACAGAATACATTTGTATTGTTTCAGTCATTCAGTCTGTGGTGATGTGTCACAGCAGCAATAGAAATTAATGCAGAGATGAGCCAGAATTCTAGCCAGGTCTGCTCAAACTTGAAACCTGCATTCTTTTTCCCTACTTCACACTGCCTGCAATTTTACTGAAGCCTGGAACTAAGTACTCAGAGACTCATATCTTGTCCCAATTTGAACACTCCCCAAATCTGGAACTGAGTACTGAATCACATGACCAAGTGTTCCTCTAATTAAATCATCACAACTATCCCATGTATTGATTATTGTCATGATGGTTCTAAAGAGTAGCTTCAGAGAAAAAAAAAAAACAGAAATTCACCATTAGGAATAGGCTTCCTGATGGTGCAGTGGTTAAGAATACGCTTTGTAATGCAGGGGACACGGTTTTGATCCCTGGCCAAGGACTAAGATCTCACATGCCACTGAACAACTTAAGCTGATGTGGGCCACAACTAGAGACTTTATTCACTGCAGTGAAAGATCTCACTTGAGGCAACAAGGATCCTGAGTGCCACAACTAAGACCCGAGGCAACCAAATAAATACTGTTTTTTTTTTTTTTTAAAGAATGTTTCTCACACATCATCAGAGAAACACAAATCAAAACCACAATGAGGTACTATCTCACGCCAGTCAGAATGGCTGCTATCAAAAAGTCTACAAATGATAAATGCTGGAGAGGGTGTGGAGAAAATGGAACCCTCTTACACTGTTAATGGGAATGCAAACTAGTACAGCCGCTATGGATAACAGTGTGGAGTTTCCTTAAAAAACTGGAAGTAGAACTGCCATATGACCCAGCAATCCCACTGCTGGGCACACACACCAAGGAAACAAGAATTGAAAGAGAGACGTGTACCCCAATGTTCATCGCAGCACTGTTTATAATAGCCAGGACATGGACACAACCTAGATGTCCATCAGCAGACGAATGGATAAGAAAGCTGTGGTACATATAGACCATGGAATATTACTCAGCCATTAAAAAGAATGCATTTGAATCAGTTCTAATGAGGTGAATGAAACTGGAGCCTATTATACAGAGTGAAGTGAGTCAGAAAGAAAAACACCAATACAGTATATTAAGGCATACGTATAGAATTTAGAAAGATGGTAACAATGACCCTATATGTGAGGCAGCAAAAGAGACACAGATGTAAAGAACAGACTTTTGGACTCTGTGGGAGAAGGCGAGGGTGGGAGGATTTGAGAGAATAGCATTGAAACATGTATATTATCATATGTGAAACAGACACCAGTCCAGGTTTGATGCATGAGACAGGGCACTCAGGCCTGGTGCACTGGGAAGACCCAGAGGGATGGGTTGGGGAGGGAGGTGGGAGCGGGGTTCAGGATGGGGAACACATGTACACCCACGGCTGATTCATGTCAATGTATGGCAAAAACCAGTACAATATTGTAAAGTAATTAGCCTCCAACTAAAATAAATCAATTAATTTAAAAAACAAATACTATTAGAATCAATGTATCAAATGTAAAAAAAAAGAATGTTTCAACTGCAGTCAGTAATTTTGACTGAGTTTCCACATGCTTTCAACTAAAATATTCAGGTATTGAGCTGAAAGTGCCTTGATGATTTTGACTCACAGTATTCAGAAAGCCATTAAGTTTATATATCTCAGCTTATCCCTATCAACATTTAAACATATTTTCATATTGATTTTTCTTTGACAACAGTGTCATATTTGCATGCAAATATAAAAGCCCGGATTCTATCATTAGTATCTTTACCATCAGTTAGCTCTTCAACCTTTCAGTCAAATCACTCAACGTTTCCAGACCTCAGTCTCCTCACCTGCAGAATGGAGCAGTGGGTGGGACGCTTGCCAAGCAGATCATCTTTAAGGTTTCTTCCAGTTTTAAAACAAAACATGGCAGGATTCCCACAGCAAAGCTTCTAGGTATATTTCAAGTGTGCTCATTATTACCAAATGCCACTAGAGGTCAGATTAAGCTTGGTAATTCCATCTAATCTGGCATACACATTTAGCAAAGGCAGAAGCTTACCTTATATTAATGCCTTGCCGGCACGCCTGAACCTAGATCCTTCTGAGCTAATGGATGTCGATCCCAGTGTTATAGAGTAAAATGGGAAAATCTGTGAAAACAAAATTGCATTCATTAGTCTGTAATTTGTAATTGCCTGGTACCAGAATGCTTATCTTTCTTTGCATGCCTGAATGTCATTAATTGAAGGTGTCACCTGGAGCCCGGGGCTCAGTGCTTGCTCATGTTACTGTGCTAATCAATCAGTTGCAAGGAAGTGGGGCTGCAAGACTAAAAGTGTTTCCTGTCTTCTTTGTGCATCTAGGTGTGACTGTGATAAGAATACGTGACTGCCTGTGTATGTGGCACTTGACCCATTGCCTGTATTCCTGTTGAAGTATAAAGGAATGAGTGGGAAAAAATGAGTAATCGTGAACACACATTATCCTTGGACAGCTGCCTTGTGAAGTTTCCAATCAGGACCAGCTCTAGACACAACTGTGGTGTCTGTAAACTCAGATACTTTGTAGCTACCATTCCCCTGTCCCTTCATCATTCCTACTGTCTCTCTTCTCAATATCCTTAGTCAAACTTTCCTCTCAGGAGAGATCGAAAAAAATCAAATTCAATAAGATATATGAATCTGGTGATGAAATTTTGCTCTCCTGGGCACATCTGCATTTTGTCAGAGAACAAGACTTTTTATTGGTGGAATTCCAAAAGTAGAATTGCAATCATCCAGAAGCGTAATAACTGGGAGGACAGGGTGATTGACAGCAACTTCAAAATCATCCCATGGAACTGACATCATAGGCCAATGACAAAGGCTGGCCTTGTCTCCCCAATAATGAATGCAGCCTGAATGGGTAAGGCATTCTTCTTCTTCTTCTTTTGTTTTTTAACAGCACTTATTGAGCATTTACTGATACGAGGTTTTGTGTGAGGACCCAAGATCAGGTTCCTGCACATGAGAAACACATTAACTGAGTTCCTGATCCCAAGCGCCCTGGGTTCACTTCCCTAATGCATGGGATCACTGCTTGAGGATTTGATTTCTTCCTGCACAAGGTACCAAAACGCCACTGGAGCCTCAGCACCATCTCCAGGGCAAGGACCTGCAGAACGGGGATCATCCTCCTCTTTCCTCCACCGCCTCTATTTGACAATAAATGACAGGGACAGGGTGGGGAGGTTCTGAGAGTCTCACTGAGGGATGGAAATACAGGTCCTGAACTGAAAATGGGGGTTTCAGAGGATTCATTATTTCTAGATAGCTCTGTGATATGAAGATAAGATAGAGTTTCCTAGTGGCCATAACTTAGTAACACTAGACGCAAACAAATCTTAAAGCCTTAGGGACCTCGAAACTCCTAAGATGCTGACACAGTAACACTTGGGATCACAGCCTTGACAACCTTGTCTCCAGATTCTTCTATGTGAAATCAACATCATGGTTGCATCTGCCTTAAATCTGCCACAACCAGTGCACAGAAAAAAATTCTCTTTGACATTTATTGTCTCAGAAACAGAAATGTCACTTTATATTTACCTAGTAATTTACAGAGTGACTCGGAAAATCCCTTCGTCTGTCCCATAAAGTACAATGTTCTCACACCTCACAGATTTATAGAGTTGGTACAACCCAGTGGCTCATTAGTAAAGAATCCACCTGCAATGGAGGAAATGAGGGTTTGATCCCTCAGTTGGGAAGACCCCCTGGAGAAGGAAATGGCAACCCACTCCAGTATTCTTGTTTGGGAAATCCCATGGACAGAGGAGCATGGTGGGCTATAGTCCACAGGGTCCCAAAGGAATTAGACACGACTTGGCAACTAAAGACACACAGAGAAAATTGTCTATATCACCTTTTCCTCACACTAACCCACTTACAGTGCTAGATGAAATGCCTAGCACTTCCTGACCGACACCACTTACCCCGACCATCCAACACCATCTTTCACAAGCACCATATTTCAGATGGTTAAATTGAGACTCAGGTATGTTAGGTGATAATAATTTCTCAGCAGTAGAAATTATGCAAGTGGAGGAGCAGGGTCTCAGAATAACTGAGGGACTTTTCATTCTCATTTCATAAAACATCCCTGCAGCACCCAGCACTGTTGACCCCAATTGCCTTCCTGAACCATCTCTCTCAGGGTTTCCTCTGCACACACCCTTGATTTTTCTGCATAGACCTTCTCATTCTCTTTAAGGAGTTGGATTAGCCAATCCTAGTTCTGAGCTCTCTTAAGCTACAGTCTTATCTTGTTTTGCCTCTTATTCTCATGGTTTTAAATATTATCTCTGCCACATATATTCCCAAATTCCTATATCTCAGTCATGCCTCCTTTATGAGTTCTGGGTTTATTCATCCAAATGTCAACTTGTTATTTCCACACATCTTAAACTGAAGTCTTCATTTTCTCATTCACCACCTCTACATTTCTCCTCATGTCAGCATACAATACCCTCTCTCACCCAGAAAATTTTTACCTTCAAACTCTTTCTCTCTTTTCTCCCACATTAAATCAGTCAAACAGAAAGGACTGCAGCATCTACTCCCCAAATGCATCCTCAACATATTACTCTAATCTCAAAAATAAAATGGAGTTATAAAACAATAGCAGAAATTTGAACACTAAATATTCAACAATATTTCAAAGTATCATTAATTTTAATGTGTTCAACATTATAATCATTTTTGGAAGTATGTACTGAAATATACACAAGTAAAAGGATACATTGTCTGAGAACTGATTTACAATAATTTAAGGTGAGATGAGTAGGAAGATATATATAGGGGAAATAAGATATACCATGCAGTGATAATTACTAAAACTAAGTGAAAGGCATATCAGGTTCATTATACTCTTTTATTTTTTATTCATTTGCAAAATTCCATGATAAAGTAATGGGAAAAATTTTGAATAGCTTGCCTCAAATTTTCCAGGCTAGAATACTGGAAGGGGTTGCCAGGGGATCTTCCAAACCTAGGGATCAAATCCACATCTTTTGCATCTCCTGCACTGGCAGGCAGATTCTTTACCACTGTTTCACCTGGGAAGCCCATTTGCCTCAAGTAATTTAAAGCAATAAGACAATGTCAGACTTTTTACTTTTACTCCAAGTAAGTTGTCACCGATTTAACCTAACAAGAATTTGCCCCAAATAACTCAAATTATCAAGAAGAGTCTGTGAAATATACACTTATATTCACCATCATTAAAGATTGATTTTGCCATAAGTAGATACTGTACCTTGAAATATTAGTTAATGATAGTTTGAAAGCCATCATAATTACTAAGGCACACACTAATGTGAAACATGATGACAAATGTCAAAGTTTTTTTAGTAGTGGTTCAAAATACCATGTGATACTTAACCCAGGCCTTTATAATATTTCACTAAATATGTAATACATACTAAATTCCTGACTTAAGCACAAAAAGAAAAACTATGTACCATTAGTAAAGATTGTCCTTCCTACAATAAAAATACGAGAAATAATATGGCTACAAATTAAAATATATTTTTTGTCAGAAAATACTATTGGAAAATATAAACATATTGCATATTTAAAGAAATAAGTATGAACCAGTATGGGAGGTTTACTATACAACTGAATGAAAATATATATTTTTCACATGTCTATACTTATTATATACTCTAGTTTTTTTTTCCAATAACAACATTTATGTAGCACTAATTTCCTTGTGAACAACTAAACTAAAAAGATATGCAAAGATTTATTCTACTTAGTAAATTACCTCTCCGATGTATGAATGAAAATCATTTAAGCTAACTCTTGGTGGACTGAAAGCTTTGAATGTAGTAAAAATAATAACAATTTAAATTATTGGAGTAAATTTTGGAGAGAGCAAATCAAATGAAATTTATGTACTCGATCATTAAAAGACAAGCAGTTACAGCAAAGAAAATGAAACAAGTGTACAAAATACTACACAATGTCATTAATGCAATTGATTTTATAAAAATAAGATATCTGCAATACTTTGTAATGAGATGGAGAGTAACGATGAAAATCTTTTAAAGTGCTTAAGATTCCCTGATTATTTCATGGCAAAGTATTAAAAAGGTATCAAACTTACTGATAAGATATCTATTTTTTCTTCCACAAACACAGCGGATCCAAATTTGCTGACTTTTTCTTAATGATTAATTTTTAAAATGAATAAGCAAACAAAACCTGTCTGAGTAAGGCAGTAGCTGATTTTCAATAAAAATTATAGAAAAAAGATTCTGAAAGTGAATACTAAGAAATATTTTCAGCATTATGGGTTTTTTTTGCTATAAATGATGTATATCACCTATAACAACTTTCATATCTGCACACTTTAAAATATAGGAACAGAATTATTTAACCCAAATAAAAATCTTCCAAATGAAATACTTCAGTATATATTGAATCCATTTTGATGAATTTTAAAACAGTAACTGATTGTCATAAGGGAAGATAGATATTACAAGCTGAGTTTTAATAAAACTTTAGCATAATTGATGCATTGAGATTAAAAAGTGTCATATAAAGCAATAGCAGCTAATGACATATTTCTTCATTAGGGCCTGTATATCAATGTGAGGTATCTTTTCCACCTATAACATTATGCCACTAAAACTAAGTGCTGAAATGAACTATACTTAAAACTAGAACTTCGATTCTCAATATCACATTGTTTTAAAGTAACAAAGACATTCAATATAATAAATATTACTATTGGCAATTTTTTTTTATCATTTAAGCATTATTTGAAAGTTGATTTATTTCATCTTATCCTTTTTATTCCTACTCTTGTATGTGTTTGATAATGCATATAATGTATCAGTATGGTAGTCCATCTCCATGAAATAAGTATACATTTGTGGGGATAGTTAGCTACTTTATCAGATAAACTACCTCCAGGAATTCAAGTTGGAGTGTGAAAGTTTAAAGTAGCCTCATGTTCAACCTTAAACAGTTCTTGAGGACCTGCTTCCTTGTGTTTATAAGTGAAATCAAGCCTTGGAGCCACAAAGAAGAATAGAGGATGTCTTGAAAGTTCAGCTCAAAGAACATGTTTAACGTGTCTGTTGCCAGGGAGCCAGAATAT